CTATTTGTCATATATTTCTCAATCCTTACTATAAATTTAGGTGAAGGATATTGTTTTCCATATGGGAAAACTGATGCCCAACAGAGTCACAAATTAGTGTGTGTGTGTGGGGGGGGCCCCAATACCATGTTTGACTCCCAAAACATGCACTTAATTCACTTTATATTGAGGATTCTGATCACCTCCGTGTACTCCAGACAGTGAAACAATTCTACCCAGTTCCACAGAACAATTCTTCATGATGACCGAACATTTTAAGTCTGGAATCCAAGAGTGCCACAAATGCAAACTAGGTAATATACTCAGCTAAGAAACAGGAAGTTCCAAGCCATCTTGAAGTAGCCTTGAAGTAATACACTGTGAACGCTGAAGCACAGGCAGTAAATAAAGCACATGGTCAGTGACTGCAGTAAACACCCTCACTTGGAAGCTATTTCTGTACAGTCACAACTCTCCAGGCAGCCAGGTCCTCCCTTCCCATAGATACAGATCTGTTGCCACTGCCTTTTACATGGGACTCAGAATCAAAAGTCAGGCCATTTTGCCAGAGCAAATGAAAGGACAGGAATGAGATGTTGTCAGGAGTCATAGGAGCTCTGAGGACCATTTGTCCCCATTTCTGTCCGGTTCTCTCTGTCTCCTTCGCCACGAGTTTCCTCCTTTTCTCTGTGTAGAGGCTTGTCCTGCCTGCTTTTCCTGCCTTCCCTGTGTCTTGCCCTCTTCCTTGCATGTGGCCATAGCTCACCGTGGCTCTTCTGGACACAGCTACCAGCGCTTTCTTTTAACTTCAACCCTGCTACTAATCCCCTCACTGTTCCAGTTTCCCATTTCTCAGGAAATCACACTGCTTAGCCCAACTTGTCTTTTCAAAACATAGGCAGGCATCAGAGGTCACCATGTTTTGGCTGTCTTTGTGTCAAGTATCTGTGTGTATTTTAGGTGTGTGGGAGTAGGGTCACATGGTGTAAAACACGGGCAATGCCTTCTTAGTGGTTGATGGACAGGGAACCGTCCCATGGAAGACGGTGTGAGAACTCGGTGGACCTTTCTGCATTGGCAGTCCAATACAACTTCTGTAGCGCCCTCCCAGCTCTCATCTCAGCTCTCATCGAAAGGGACTTCCAAATGTCAATGGTACATGACAAACGGTATGCAAGGCTCTCTGAGGGAAGTAATTCTCTTTCCTATTACTGAACACGATACCACCTGCTGTGTAGTTTTAATGCAATTTTAACAATAACAGCAATAAAAGCAAGCACAAAATAAATGCCTTTCATTGGTTTCTATTATGTGCCACACACTTCACATACATTATTAATGATTCTCCCAATGGATCTAACGGATGGATACAAATATCCCCATTTTACAGATGAAGTTATAGAGGTTCAGGAAGTTGAAGTAACTGGTTCAAGGTTACATCACACATACATGTAAATACTCAGGTTACTCTGATTCCAAAATCTACATTTCTTATACTGACAGCATATTTTTTATATTTCAACAGTCAACTATATTTTAAAGAAGTTAAGATGAGAAAAATATTCTATTGTATTTATGCAGATATTCACCTTGTCTTTTTCTCTTCTTTCATTCCTGAAGTTTCAGGTGAACTCTAGTGTCACTTCCCTTCAGCCTGAAGAAATTGCATGTCTTTGGAGAGGAGGTCTGCTGGTGACAAATCCTGTTTTCCTCCTTGAGAAATGGATTTCTGTCACCTTCATTCCTCAAAGACATTTTTTCTAGAAGCAGAATTGTGGGTTGCTAGGTCTTCTGGCACCTTAAAGATGCTCCACTGTCCTCTGGCTGTCGCCGTTTCTCATGAGAAACTTGCGGCCTTTGGAACTGTTGTTCCCTATATTTAAAATGGCGTTCCCACCCACCTCACCCCGCCTGCTTTTAAGACTTTTTCTTTGTCCTTGGTTTTCAGTAATTGTAATATTGTGTGTCTGGGCTGATTTCTTTTTGTTTTTGTTTATCCTTTTTGGAGTTTATTGAGCTTCTTGTATCTGTAAATTTATCTTTCACCAAATTTAGGAAGTTTTCAGGTATTATTTGCATGAGTATTCTTTATGCACCAACATCTTTTGCCTCTGCTTTAGGGACTCCAGTGGCACAAATGTGAAATTTTTTGATATCGTCCCACACGTCTCTGAAACTCGTCATTTTTGTTTTCAATCTCTTTTCAATTTCTATTGTTCAGATCGGATAATTTCTGTTGCTCATTCTTCAAGCACACATGCTCTTTCCTTTATTATCTCCATTCTACTGAGCTCATCTAATAGATTTTTAATTTCAGATATTGTATTTTTCAACTCTAAAACTTCAAAGTACAGTAGTTCTTTTTATAATCTCTATTTTTCTTCTAAGAATTTCTAACTTTCTATTCATTTCAAGATTGCTCTCCTTAGTTTGTAGAAAATGGTTCTAATAGCTGATTAAAAGTATATCTGATAATTCATACATGTCAAATAATTTTTATTGTATCCTGGACATTTTGAATATTATTGGGTTGTCGGAAAAGTCATAACATATTTTTTCTATGTTTTTCGTCCCAAAAATGTGTCATGACTTCCGAGAACCCAATACATTGTCAGGTTTGCATACCATTCAAATTATATGGAGAATATTGATTGTTGTTTGTACCTGCATGGTTTGTTCTTTTGTTCTGTGGTGCTGGTTCCAATGTCATTTCAGTTTTCAGAGCTGTTGCTATGCTGCTTGGGTCTGCTGGGCTATGCGCCACTCAGGGCTCGCCCTCGTACTCGGCAGGGAGAGGTTCTGGTCTGTAGTTCAGCTCCCAAAGCCTTTGTTATACTTCTCTGGGCGTTTTCTGAACACATGCTACTTGGGGAGTGAGCTCATTACTTGTGTGGGTTCAAACACAGAGTTAGAGATTTTCCAGCGCTCTCTCTTGTCTGCAGGATTTCCCGTACACCCTTTGGCTTCCAGGGCCCCTTTTCCCAGTGTTTCTGGCTAGAAAAATCCGGTCCTTTCAAAGTTGACCTCCTGTGCTGTGGCACAGTTCTGTGACATTGCACCATAGTGCAAAGCAGCAAGGGAAAGAGAAAACACATAACAGTGATCCCCCACTCTTTGCACAATAGGGGTCCCTTTCCCTGGTTCTTCTGCCCGAACAGTTGAATCCTCATTTGGGATCTTAGATGCCTGTGCCTCCCCTGGGGCAGCCGTGCAGATCTGCTTTTGAAGCTTGCCTTGTGGCCGGACTAGGAGGATAAAAACAGAACAATAAGAAACCTAGGGATTTTCCCTATACTGTGGCTTGCAGGGGCCCATTTTCCTGCTTCTCTAACCAGGATAATGGCCTTACCTAGAGTTTTTTGTTTGTTTCTTTTTTGTTTTTCTCTGTTTGTACCTTTTTAAAGTTCCCAGTTGGCTTGCATTCGGGCCAAATCCAGGAGGAGGAAAAAGGAAAAACCCAGAAGACTCTTTGTAGCTGAGTTGATCTTAGCTACACATTTGACTTCCCTCCTTAATCCACTTGCTCTCAGCTACTTTTCAGAATCCTCAGGTAGTTGTTTGCCATATTTTTACAGTTGTGGTGTGATCAGGGGAGTGACAGAATGGGCTCCTTATTCTCTGGCTGCTTCTCGTTGATGTTTTTATCCCTGGCACTTGCCGCAGAACCTGCCATGTGATAGGCAATGAAGTGAATCAAAATGTAAAATGTGAAGCTTGCCAATTGTCTAGTAAACTCCGGTGGGGCAGGGACGGAAAGTACTTGGCCCCCAGGCTGTCACTCTTACTGCCTACGCTCAAAGCTGATGGGCCCGTCTTCACTGCTCTGCTCCTGCAGCATCCGAGTACAACCACAGACTACATCCTGGCACAGCAAACCTGGGCACCTCTGCCCAGTCACAGCATTGCCATGTGATGTAAAGGCCGGCCTTTGATTCCTGTCTTCAAGACTTAGTTATTCACACAGCATGTCCAGCCTTCCTTCCTATTTAACTGCAGTGACCCTCCGCTCTCCTTCCCACCTCCATCCCGCTTTCTCTGACATTCCAGATCATGGGCATTTTTTTTTTGTTCTTTGCCAGGTGGGCTTGGTGAGAAAACTCATTCTTTCCCTTATTGTAAAGGAATTTATATATTTATATTTATATTATATTTATATTTAATTTATATTTATATTATAATATAAAGGTTTCTATATTCTCATTAAAAAATTGCAATTTGACTAATATGTTTCACTGAGCTTTCCCTTGCTTACACCGAAAGGAATTTATTTTAGTCTTTTAGCCTTTGGGAAATGATAGATTTATTTAATAGATTGATAATTATACTGCTTAAAATTGATCATTAGAATTCCTTTCTATTTGATTTCTATTTACGTATCACCAAACCCATAATCCATTATCACCAGTTGCATCTATTCATTCAGGCTTACTGGTCCTTGAATAAGGGAACACTGTAACTTCTCATTTTGAATCTTTCTAAGAACAAATATTAATGAAAAGTAATATGCCTTAAACATATCTGATTTAAAACCTCAATCTGTCTGCATACTGTTTTTTTTCATTTTGTTTCCCATTTTTATTATAAATATTATCTTAGCAAAAAGTAAGAGGCAGTGTTTGTAAATGTGAATAGCTTTTTACATCTTTTGTACATTTGCTATGAAACACCTATATGTGACCCAGCTGGGCACTTAAATCAGGAGTCCCCTTTCTAGAGCTTCAGGTGTCCCCTCTCCACAAATGGAAAATCTGGTCAGAAAACTGACTTCCCAAAGTATGTTAAGCATGTATGTGGTGCAAAGCCCGAGCATGATGATTAGAAGTCGACATCATTGAGTCCAAAGTTACCTGGTAAGGTTTCCATTTAAAGATGAAGTTAGGACCCATCGCCTGGGATTCCGCCTGGCAGTTCTGTGGCTGAAATTAGAGGAATGAAAAGGAAAGAAAGTGGCTATGTGACAGGCTATTGGGTTCACTGTCTAAGCGTGCTTTTTTTCTCTCCTTTTCTGCCGTGGTCTCTAGTTTACCGTGGTTTCTGGGCAGTCCTGATGCTCTTGGGGGTAGCCACTGTGGTGACCGCCAGCTTTCTGATCATCTGTGCAGCGCCCTTCGCCAGCCACCTTCTTTACAAAGCCGGGGGAGGCTCCTATGTGGCTGCAGGTATGTACAGCGTTGTGGGTGTGATTTCCAGCAAGGGGTTTTCTCCACAGCGTCGTGTTTTTTCATTTATAGTTTCAGGCATCCGGCTTCTAGTAGTAGGAATACAGTAATATTTGTAGCTAATATTTCTAGAGTGTTAACTATATAGCAGACACTTTCCCAGGGACTTTCCCTGTTCCACGTGCTAACACACTTAATCAGCATGATGGTGTTTCTCACTGTGTCCACATTATATGAAGAGGACACAAGAGAGAAAAGCTCTGCCGACAGAGCCTTTAAACCTCTCTTACCCTATTAATTTTCTGTCTGTAAAATGGAGTCATAACACATCCCTCTGTAACATCAGGATAGAGGTGAACTTTTCTGTGTGCTCTTAAAGATAGCCCCATGATGATACTAAAACCCTCATGGTTTATTATGTATCCTAGGTAAGGAGCATTTTTCTCGACAGTGTCACCATTCAATTTTCATAATTGTGATTCATGTGCATTATCTAAACATACTCTTCTTTGTAAAACCTACCCTTATTTTAGTCAGCTTTCCAACTAGTCTTTCTAATTCATGCTAAAATGATCATGGTACAAATAGAAAAATAATGGAATAGGAGAGTCTTGAGAACTTTAAGCCCTTTTCATTTAATGAGTAAGTAAAAGCCAGAACACTAACTTGAAAACCATAAGCCTAAGGCTATTTGTAAAGATAATTCTAGAAAATCATACAAACTTCAGCCTGACTGAGACCAAACTGTCCATGACTATGCTACATTGTAACATCAGATAAGAAGGACAAAGTGTTTCTATATGAGATGGCAATGACAGCAAAGGAAATGAACAGGATGGATATAGCCTTATTGTCTTTTTAATCATAGCAAAGACAGCTCCCCACCATTATTTAATTAATCGTCAATTAACGGACAGTTCCTGGAACACACTTTTTGCATAATATTGTGCTTAATTCTGCAGAGGACATAAAAAGAATAACCAGGTATGGATCCTCTGCTCAAAGAGCTCAAAAAAAAAGAACCCCATCTCAGAACAAGAGTCCTTCCTGTTTAACCTGGTCTTCTTTTATCGTTTATTTCAACTCTTCACTGGTTTTTCAAGGGCCTTTATCAGGGGCCCAGATTTACCCATTAGAGCTCCTAATTTTATAAATAACTTTATAAAAATTGAGATATCATTCACATACCTTACAATTACCATTTTAAAGTGTATAAAGCAGGGTTTTTCTAGTACATTTACACAGTGGTTCAAATATCACCACTATTTGATTCTGGAATAGTCTTTTCACCCCTCAAAGAAACCTCCCCCTCTCCTCCCCCAGCAATGAGTAACTACTAGTCTGCTTTCTGTCTCTATGGGTTTGCCTGTTCTGGACAGTTCATAGAAATGGAATCACACAATATGTGGCCTTTTGTGTCGGGCTTCTTTTACTTGGATCTCATAATTTGTCATCTCTCTTCTTTAATTTGTAATTCCGTCAGGCCAAACCCCTTATGTAAATCTGAGTAGTATCTTCTTTATCAGATTTTGTTTCTCCCCCAAATCACATTCTACACTCACTTCATTCAAACGTCTAATTAAGGTGCATATTTTTCCACAGTCTTCCCAGAATTAATAGCTCTCCACTAAAATATGTAATTATTTGTTTCTTCTCATTCCTTGATTTCCTTTTAAATCTTTGTCAATAAATCTGTGTAATAGTGATAGATTAGCACCAACACATGGGCAGCATGATTGATTTAAACTCAGAAACACTCTGATCCTAACTTTGGTCTTAGAAAAAGAGAGAGAGGAGAGGAGGGGAGGGGAGGGGAGGGGAGGGGAATTTGAAAAAATATTGTTGGTCATTTTATTATTTATGTCAAAAGTATATCCAGCTAGACTTATGGTGATCACATGGTAAGGTATATAAATATCTAATTGCTGTGTTGTACACCTGAAACTAATGTAATATTGTATGCCAACTACACTTTAATAACATTTTTAAAACAGAGAATTGCATTAGTCTGACAACCTGTAGAAGGATAAACCATTTGATACGTACTCATATGCCTGTGACAAGTGGATTTCCTTTTTCAGTGAATCTTTTGTTGCCTATGGGTATGGGGTTGAGCTCTTCGTTGCTCAGGTCTTCCTTCATGCAAAAGCCCCTTGGCAGTTAGGGGGTGTCCAAGGTGTCCTGGGAGCCCGTTCTGAAAGCCTCTAAACTAGATGATTATGCCACTTCCTTTCAAATTTGACTTAATTTCCTCATGGCACAATTCTTGATTGTTTATGTAGGGCCGTTAGTTTCCCAAGAACAGAGAGACATATTCTATTGGATGCGATCAAATATTACTATTTATCTTATCAGTTTGGGCAGGAAAAGTGATGCTGTAAGGATTAACTGTAGTTTGCTGTCTAGTAGCTATGTCCACTATACAACACAATTTTTAAAGCAGTATGGACCCAATAAGTCAGCCTTAAGCTTGGTACATATTGACAGAAGAATTTTTAAAATCTTCCAATTTGTTCTCTGTTATTAACATTCCCAGATAATGTTGATAGGTAACTTATTCTTTCAAAGTTGAAGATGAAAACTAACAAACACACTGGGCTATACAAAGGCGAGGAACATATGAAATAAATGCTAGGATGGTCGCCAAGCCAGGTTTTTTCTGTACCATATTTAACATGGAACCATGCACATAGTCACTCACTGAGTTAAATTGAATTTATAATGCTTTCTTTGGTTAGATTTTATATTTTTGAAATGAAAAGATCTCCTTCCATGCACCTGGTATTCCAGAATCGCTTTCGTTTAGGACTTGCTTCGTCATTGCTAGCCTAGCCCAGCCTCCCTTGCTGCCTGCCCGTGCCCACATGCTGTGCTCTGGTGGGCAGCTGGGAACAGGTGTGGCTGGGACCTGTGGTTGCTGTGGCTGCTTTATCAATGCCATGGGCGAGACTGGACACTCTCTCTCTATTTGGACAGATGGCCTTAGGACAGGGCAGAACCAAATTCCAAATGGCGATTGCTGGGTGTGTGTGCATAGAACAGCTCTTTGGCATCAGCGAGAAGATTGTTTGGGGGCATTCCATGTGTGACTGGGCATGCGGATATTGCAGCTGTTGGTGTGAGTGAGGGGTGGGGTCTATGGTATTTTTCTTGCTCTGGCCACAGGCTCAGACCAAGGCTTGGAGGGCATGTGTTGCCACTTCCTGCATCAGACAGGTGTCTTCTCAGGTGGCTGGGCCATGTGTTCCCCGAGGAAGCTCATTCTGGACCAAATGTATAGTAATTATCAGGGCGGATGACACCCAGCCTGCGTTTCAATGAGTCTTCACACACATCTCCACCATGCCTAAACAATCGGTGACATTTGTTTGCATGTGGATTCCAGTGAACTCTCAGATACAAAGGGGGTGAGTCCTGTCTTACCCTGACCCTGTGTTGTTGGAGGTGACAGGGAACAGACAGGAAGAGTTAGAATGGGTAGGAATGGCATGACAAGACCTTTGAGTTACATGGACAGAATTATTACACAGCTGAATATTTCTAAAGCCTGTGCAAAGAGACCTCCGCACAGGGATTGCTGTGCATCAGGAAGCCTTCTGAGAGGACAAGAAGGGATGATGACATGATCTGGGTGTCCCTGGATGCTGGCATTGGTGATAAGCCACGGACACTAGAAACAGGTATTTTCCCAGCATACCAGGGTAGAAAGACTTTCCTTCCACAATTGAAATCTCCTTTTCCTGAACGACAAACTGGGAATCGCTTTTTCTGCTGAATGTAGAACGTGGCAGAGTCTCATCTGAGTTGAGGTTCCTGAAAGCTTCCGATCTTGGCTCACTCCTTTGTTAGACCCTCAAGTTGATGAGGCTACGAGGCATCTTATAAGTCAGAGGAATACAGCAGCAGCCCTTGTTCTAGGCTCAGGGAGCATTAGTGGGAGGAGAGGACCTCACGGGTAATCAGTCCTGTGGAACGTGGGATTAACTAGTCCTTTGGAACGTGGAGGTAACTAACTAGTTCTTTGGAACGTGGAGGCAACCAGCCCTTTGGAACGTGGAGGTAACCAGTTCTGTGGAACATGGAGGCAAAGTGGGGGTTCCCTCCTGCCCTATTCTGGTACTACAGGGTGTGCTGCTCTCCCGGACAACAGCTTAACAAACTGTTGTTAGTCACCGGAGACGAGCGAGTGAGTGAACTGTGTGAGTCCCCTGCCAGGTGGGACAAACAGCCTAGAGCATGTCCTGCCATGGCCGCTCCTGCTCCCTTCAGCTCAGGAAGACAGTGCTTTGTACAACTGTCCTGCCGTGAACCCTCTTTCAGAAGGGAGGTGGCTATAAAGGAAGGGAATATAAAATTCTCATTGTTAGCAGGTGATAATGAATCAGAAGTAAATTGGATTTGTGGTTTTGTTTTCCTTTTTCTTTCAAAAAGTTCGTGGGTTTTATAGTAGCTCATCAGTAAACCACATTTATTTCTACATTTATCCCTGATATTTCTATCAGATAGATATGATGGATGCAGAACGGAGGAGTTTTGTTTTTTGTTTGTTTGGTTTTTTGCCTTAATCCTTGAGAAAAATAGCTCCCAGAGGCCAGGGATCTATTTTGGACACTCATTTCCCTTTGGCTGAGATGGAGCACATGGCACACAGGAGGCGCTTGGTGTCATGCCTGGCTCCTCGCGTCATCTTCCAGATACCGGAGAACGTGGCCGCAGTCGGAGGAGCAGGGGAGATGGTGTGTGTGGGAAGCACAGAGCAAGAGCAGGAAGGGATTAGGGAAGAACTGCTGACAGCCTAGAGGCCAGCTCTCTAAACTTACAGGCACACGCATCTCCCTGCTCGCACCTGCTATCTCCATGTCTGTGTCGTGAAAGATCAGGCTATAAACAGCCGCTTGCTTACCCAGACCAAGCCGAGGAGCTCTGTGAGGAGAACAGGCCTGGATGGCCACTGAATTCTCACCAGAATGCCCCCTCTAAAGCTTCTGTGTCTTTCTTAG